AAAAGTGAGAAAAGAATGAGATGATATATTCAAAACACTAAAGAACAAAACTTGCTAGCCATGAATAATTTATGCAGCAAGGCTATGCCTCCAAAATGAAGGACTAATAGTATAATTCTCAGACAAACAAAAACTGCGGGAGTTCACTACCACATAACCAGCCCTACAAGAAATTTTCAAGGAAGTACTGGGTTTGATACCACAAAAACCACCATTACTGCCATTAATACACAAGAAAGAAAAATACCTACCAGCAAAACAAAAATGCCAACAAAAAGAAAAAAAATAGTTTATTTACCACCCCAAGAAACCAACAAATACCAAAGACAAACAGAAAATTAGAAAGAAAGGAACAAAAGATATTTAAGACATCTAAATAAAAATCAGTAAAATGCTAGGAGTTAATCAACACCTTTCAATAATAACTCTAAATGTAAAGGGATTAAGTTCCCCATTCAAAAGACACAGATTGACTGACTTGATTAAAAAGGTGGACCCAACAATATGCTGTACTCAAGAGACTCACTTGACCTGTAAAGACACACATAAACTGAGAGTGAAAGGATGGAAAAAGATATATCACATAAATGGAAATGAAAAATGAGCTGCAGTAGCTATTCTTATATCAGATAAAATAGACTTTAAAGCAAAAACCATAAAAAGAGATAAAGGCAGCCAGTATATAACGATAAAAGGATCTATTCATTAAGAAGACATAACAATCATAAATATATATTAACCTAATGTCAGAGCAGCCAGATTTACAAAGCAAACACTATTAGATCTAAACAAAGAGATAGACACTAACACCATAATAGCAGGGGACCTGAACACTACACTCTCATCTAGGCAAGAATCATCTAGGCAAAAAATCAATAGAGAAACACTAGATCTAAACAATACTTTAGACCAATTGGATTTGGCAGATATCTATAGAACATTCCATCAAACAACCTCAGAATATTCATTCTTCTCATCAGCACATGGAACATTCTCCAGGATAGACTACATGTTAGGACAAAAAGCAAGTATCAACAAATTCAAAAAAACTGGAATTATTGCATGTATTTTTTCTGATCACAATGGATTAAAATTAGAAATCAATAATAAGCGAAACTCTGAAAACTATACAAACACATGGAAATTAAACAACATTCTACTTAATGATATGTGGGTCCAAGAAGAAATTAAACAGGAAATCAAAAAAATTTCTTGATACTAACGAAAATAATGACACATCACACCAAAACCTGTGGGATACTGCAAAAGCAGTTTTAAGGGGGAAATTTATCGCATTAAATGCTTACTTCAGAAGAATGGAGAGATGGCAAATAAATAACCTAACACTTCACCTTAAAGACCTAGAAAAACAAGAACAATCCAAATCTAAAATTAGTAGATGGAAAGAAATAATTAAGATCAGAGCAGAACTAAATGAAATAGAAACACAAAAAACAATACAAAAGATCAATGAAATAAAAAGTTGGTTTTTTAAAAAGATAAATGAAATCAACAAACCTTTAGCAAGACTAAGAAGAGAGAAGACCCAAATAACAAAAGTTAGAAATGAAACTGGTGATATTACAACTGACACCTCAGAAATATAAGGAATCATAAGAGACAGTTATAAACAACTATATGCCAACAAATTTGAAAATCCGGAGGAAATGGATACATTTCTGGATGCATACAAACTACCAAAACTGAGGCAAGAAGATACAGAATACATGAGCAGACCAATAACAATAAAAGAGATTGAAGCTGTTATCAGAAGGCTCCCAACAAAGAAAAGCCCAGGTCAGATGGGTTCACTGCACGGTTCTACCAAACCTTCAAAAAGGAACTGATACCAATTCTCTACAAACTATTCCAAAAGATTGAAACAGAGGCCATCCTCCCAAACATTCTATGAGGCAAACATCACCCTGATACCAAAACCAGACAAAGATGTATCAAAAATAGAAAACTACAAGCTAATATCCTTGATGAATATAGATGCAAAATTCCTCAATAAAGTACTAGCTAACAGAATACAGCAACACATACAGAAAATCATACACCATGATCAAGCAGGATTCATCACAGAGATGCAAGGTTGGTTCAACATATGAAAATCAATAAATGTGATACACTACATTAATAAAAGCAAAGACAAAAACTACATGATCATCTCTATTGACACTGAAAAATCATTTGACAAATTCAACATCCTTTCATTATAAGGACTCTCTACATGTTAGGTATACGTGGAAAGTTACTCAATGTAATTAAAGCCATATATGATAAGCCTACGGTGATATCATCCTGAATGGGGAAAAGCTGAAAGCTTTTCCCTTAAAAACAAGAACTAGACAAAGATGCCCACTCTCAGCACTCCTATTCAACATAGTGCTGGAAGTACTAGCCAGAGCAATCAGAGAAGAGAAGGAAATAAAGGGCATCCAGATTGGAAAAGATGAAGTCAGACTGTCCCTCTTTGCAGATGATATGATCCTATGTATTGAACAGCCTAAAGCCTCCATAATAAAACTCCTAGAGTTGATAAATGATTTCAGCAAAGTTGCAGGATACAAAATCAACACACAAAAATCAGTAGCATTTCTATACTCCACCAGTGAACATGTAGAAAAAGAAATCAAGGAAGGTAGTCCATTTAAAATAGCCACCAAAAGATAAAATACTTAGGAATAAAGCTGACCAAGGATGTGAAAAATCTCTATAATGAGAACTACAAACCACTGCTGAGAGAAATTAGAGAGGATACAAGAAGATGGAAAGATATCCGATGCTCTTGGATTGGAAGAATTAACATTGTGAAAATGTCCATATTACCCAAAGTGATCTACAGATTCAATGCAATCCCCATCAGAATTCCAATGACATTTTTCTCTGAGGTAGAAAAAGCTATCCAGACATTTATATGGAACAACAAAAGCCCAGGCATAGCCAAAGCAATCCTGAGGGAAAAAAATTAAAGCTGGAGGCATAACACTACCTGAGTTTAAACTATATTACAAAGCTATAATAACCAAAACAGCACAGTACTGGCATAAAAATAGACACAGACCAATGGAAGAGAATAGAGAACCCAGAAATCAATCCATACACCTACAGCCATCTGATCTTTGACAAAGGCAGCAAATCTACATGCTGGGGAAGAGACTACTTTTTCAACAAGTGGTGCTGGGAAAACTGGATACTCATATGCAGGAGAATGAAACTAGACCCGTATCTTTCACCATATACCAAAATCAACTCACAATGGATTAAAGAGTTAAATATACATCCAAAAACAATAAAACTGGGCCGGCCCGTGGCTCACTCGGTAGAGTGCGGTGCTGATAACACCAAGGCCCCGGGTTCGGATCCCATATAGGGATGGCCGGTTCGCTCACTGGCTGAGTGTGGTGCTGCCAAAAACAATAAAACTCCTTAAAGAAAACATAGGGGAAACACTTGAGGAAGTCAGAGTGGGTGCAGACTTCATGAATAGGACCCAAAAAGCACAGGCAACTAAAGGTAAAATAAACAAATGGGATTATATCAAACTAAAAAGCTCTGCACAGCAAAAGAAACTATCAACAGAGTAAAGGAAAAAAAAACAATTAACAGAGTGGGAAAAAATATTTGCAAAATATTCATCTGCCAAAGGATTAATATCCAGAATATACAAGGAACTGAAACAACTTTACAGCAAAAAAACAAATCACCCAATTAAAAAATGGACAAAGGAGCTGAATAGGCATTTCTCAAAGGAAGATATACAAATGGCCAACAGACACATGAAAAATGCTCAACCTCACTTAGCATCTGGGAAATGTAAATCAAGACCACTTTGAGATACCATCTTATTCTAGTTAGGATGGCTAACATTCAAAAGACTGAGAATAAGTGCTGGAGAGGTTGAGGAGAAAAAGGTACTCTCATTCACTGTTGGTGGGACTGCAAAATCATGCAGCCCTTGGGAAAATGATATGGAGTTTTCTCAAACAATTACAGATAGATCTACCATATGACTCAGTGATTCCACTATGGGAATATACCTAGTGAAATGGAAATCATCATGCCGAAGGGATACCTGTACTCCAAAATTTACTGCAGTCCTGTTTACAATAGGCAAGAGCTGGACCCAGCCCAAATGTCCATCATCTGATGAGTGGATAAGGAAAATGTGGTACATCTACACAATGGAGAACTACTCTGCTATAAAAAAGAATGAAATACTACCATTCACAACAACATGGATGGACGTAGAGAAAATTACATTAAGTGAAACAAGTCAGGCACAGAAAGAGAAATACCACATGTTCTCACTTATTTGTGGGAGCTAAAAATTAATAAATAAATAAACACACAAATAAAGGTGGGGGGAAAGAAGACAGAATAACCACAAAAATTCCTTGAACTATTTAGGTCAAGTGAACAGATATCATGTGGGGGCACAAGGGGGTGGAGAGGAACAGGTAAAGGGGCCTGAAAATAAACTACAATATATTTTGAGAAGTAAAATATAAAAAAAAACCCAGAAATGATGAAAAAAATGAGTGGAAGATTTTGGCAAACCATATTTACTTCATCTATTTGGTTCTATGTGTAAAATATATTCAATTAAAAAAAATACTCAGTTTAAGAAAGCCAACACCCCACATTTCTAATAGGTATTTGCACAATGTGCTTCTTGAGACAGTTACAGAAACTGGATCAAGTCAAAGCTGATTTTCTCCTCAGAGAGAAATTATTTACACTCAGTGTCACTTACATTTAATATCGACAGGTACTCACTTCTCAGTTTGCACTGCAATCCTTTGCAAACACCTATGTTTTCTCATAGGTGCTGCTTTAACCCATTTATTTTATTGTAGCATCCAATGTCCAAAAAGATAAAGGTAACCACGTGTGAGCAGTCAAGACTCATAGAAGGAGGCATGAGACAGTCTCTAGGAACCCACCATGTCTGAAAGAAGGTTGCATGTACGATGAATCAAGGCATGAATTTTTACCTATGATGTGGCTCTGAAATGTGGAATCTACAATTGTATCTTCTTCATCCTCTTGCAAGTTTTCATTTGCCTCTTTTATCTGCAGCAACGAGAAAATACTGCAAGTTCTTATTTGTATTAAATATATTTTTGCAATCCTCAGAATAATCCTCAGAGTGTCTTTATATATACACATATGGCTGAATGTAGGTATACATATGTATTTTTTCATTCCATTTTTCCCCATTCAATCATTTGGCTTTATCACAAGTTTTAATTACAAGAGCATATTTTCAGAAATATAAACCTCATCCCTGAAAGAAGATTTACAGGGTACCTAATTCTACACAAGATTTTAGAGATAACAGCTTTGGTTTTAAATATTTAATAAAGTCAGTAATAAAGGGCTGTTAGCAAAAAGTTGAAATCTAAGGAGGTATAATTCCTCCAGAGTCAGTGACTTCTACCACAAGTTATTTTAAGAAGAATGAAGAAAAATATTTAAAATATACTTAGATCTCCTAATCCTTTCCTGGAATGTAATCTCTAAGAAAACAATTTTTTTCATTTTTTCCATAATGAAATGAAGTAACCATGATGTGTGCTCAGTGAACTAGAGCAGTAAGACATTTACCTAGATTTTTCAGGTCAAAAACATTTCCCTTATATTTCAGCTGGTCTACTAAGGTGCTTAATGGTGTAGACTCCAGAGGGAATTTAATGAAGTCACAGTATTTTAAAGATGAGAATTATAAGGCCAGGAAATTTCCTTAAAGTTAGCACACATACAGTAAGTAGCAACGCTGGCACTAAAACCCAGGTCCCTACTTCCCAACTCAGCAATAGCAGTAACAATGTCATCAACAATACCGATCATATCAAAAACTGTGAACACGTACATCGTATATGGAAGGTGCTGTTTAAGCTCCTTACATGTAGGAAATTGTCCTCACAAAAACACTATGAGGTAGATGCTATTATTAAGTCCATTTTTAGAGATAAGCAGACAAGATAAGCAATTGCCCAAGTGGTGGAAGTGGGATTCAAACACAGCAACAAGTCTGACTGCAGACTTGAGTTCATTTGCAGAACTTCATTATTAGATTTCCATTAGGCTATGCCTGTGTAGATTTGCCCTCAGTATCAAGACAGCTTGGGGTCATTGGTGGAATGAACCTAAATTGCTCTTTTAAAATACATTCCAGCTGGGCACCTGGGCAGCCAGTGACAACCAATAAACCATCATTTTATACTCACAAT